GAGAATTGTCCCAGTTCTACAGATCCTGGAGCTCCCGGAGTGTGTAGCTATGATACCTCCAAATTCCACAATATTGATAACCCACTAGGAGCACAGCAAATTAGATGAGAAAGTAGTATAGCCAAGTAAGCTCAATAAACAAAAAATATGAGACAGAAGGCTCAAGTAACAACAAACAGCTCAGTAAACCCTCAGACAATTACTTTAATAACTCATTTTGAGAGAATAATTTTCTTTAACTGTACTATGTTTTCAATAACTCCATATGCCATCCTGTTGCAACAAACAATATAAAATAAACTATTTTATGTATGAGAAGTGGGCAGCCTTGTTAGGTGGATGGGAAATTGGGGATATTGGTAGGATTTATGTTGTAGTATTGAATGCCTGAAATAACTGTATTATGAACAACTTTGTAAAACACAGTGTTTAAATAAAGTTAAAAATTTTTAAATGACAGGGGAGGTTGAGGGAGACTCAGCAGTGGAGCACTTATCTTGCATGTGTGAAGAGAGTCTGGGAACTCATGACATAGCATACCACTCAAGGTACTTATTTCACACACAAATACAACATATAACCCCAAAATTACACAACTAAAAGGGCATTTTTCCACAAAGAAATAATATTCAGGGAAATATTTTAAAATTTTTATTTAATTAAAGAACTATAATTTAAAAAATTATTGGTAATTGGTTTTTAGGTATACAATATTTCAACACCATTTCCACCATCAGTGTCGACTTCCCCCCACCAGCGTTCCCATGCTCCTTCCTGCCCCATTCCACCCCTTGACAGTCACATTTCAAAGTTCTATGATTGTACTTTAGATCTCAAGTTTTCAGTGTTGTTGAGTTTGTGCTTCTTGCATATAGCTATATCTCTGTTTCACTTACCCAGTAGAACAGAGACCCCTAACCCCAGTCCCCCCATTGCTCCTTTTCTCATCTTCTTCCCCCCACCACCTTGATTTCTTTCCTTCTCTCTCTTCTCTTCCCTATACTTTGGGGCTAAAGATAATATAGTCATTCCCCCACTTCCTACATTTTCTTATCCAGTTATTCTATAGACCACTGATAAGTGAGCTAAGATATGTAATTGGCCTAGGTGTCCAACAACAGATTAATATATTATGAATATGTGGTATATATATTTCACAAGGTGAACACAACCATGTTATCAGTTTATAGACAAGAAATAAAACATAATGACTGTACCAGATGTTCCCTCATATTTCACCATCCCTCTGTCAAGAGTAAACAACTCTGACTAAATCATAGGTCAGTTTTGCCTATTTGGGTTGGGAAGGGGTCATACATACCTAGTGATGCTCAGGGCTTATTTCTGGGTCGGGACTCAGGAATCGGTTCTAACAATGCTTGGGGGACCATATGAAGAGCTAGGAACTAAACGAGAGAGAGAGAGAGAGAGAGAGAGAGAGAGAGAGAGAGAGAGAGAAAGAGAGAGAGAGAGAGAGAGACTGGAGCGTGACCAGTTTTGGATTTGCGTATTAGCAGCTCTAATGATCCAAAGGTAAGTGATGGTTAGATGCAGGTGTGAGCCATTAGCAACAGCACCTGCAGCAGCTGTGGGGCCGTGGAAAGGGTCCCAAGGGTCTGGGCAGAGTACCAACAGCATCTGCTCTAGAATATGACTAATTTTTTCCATGATTTAGGACAAGTCTTAAGTGTAATTTACATAATCACCCTAAAAATATTAAAATGTCACACAATCATCAAGATGCTGCCCAAATGCTGGTGAAGACCCAGCAATTGAAGCTCTCCTACGCTGCTGTCTTTACCAGTCTAGAAAAAGAGTTGGCTGCACTTGCCCAAGCTAAACATATAAAAGAACTATGATCAAACAGTTTCACTCCTGCAAATATCCCCCAGTGCAATGAGTGCTTAATTTCCATTAAAAGGTATTCTATGTCAGTAGTTGAGAGAATGTACTATTGATGAATATCAAAGGAATTATGTGAGAATGAAACCAGTGTCCAAAGGTTACAAACTATAACATTCCATCTATATGACATTATGAAAAAAGATAAAACTAGAATTATGAAGAGACGGCTGGTAGTTGTTAGGGTTAAGAGGGAGGGCTAGTAAGGAATTCTTTGGGGTATGGGACTCTATCTCGATTGGCAGTCATATAATCTACACACGTGTTAACAATCATAAAACGTCACACATACACATTAACTGGGGCCAGAAAGATAGATAGCTGTCAGGATGCTTCCCTAACACACAGTCGACCCACATTTGATTCCTGGCATAGGGTCCCCCAAATGATACCAGGAGTGACCCTTGAATACAAAGCCAGGAGTAAGACCTGAGCACTGCCAAAACCAACCAATAAACAAAAAGTTTTTGTTTTGTTTTGTTTTGATTTGGTTTGGATCACCCAGGATCACTTCTGACAGGACTTGGAGTATCCTATCAGTTGCTGAGGCTCTAACCTGGTTAGCTGTGTGAAAAGCAAGTGCCCTACTCACTGTAAAATCTCTCCATCCCCCAAAGAGGCATTCATTTCTTTCCCCCAAAGATACTTTATTTTTTAATTTTTCGGCTTTTTGGGTGACACCCAGTGATACTCAGGGGTTACTCCTGGCTCTGCACTTCTGACTGGGGATCAAACCCAAGTCAACTGTATGCAAGGCAAAGCCCTACCCACTGTACTATCTCTCTGGTCCCCAAAGAGGCACTTTTAAAAAGCAATATTAGAATGTTCAGAAAAGGGCCAGAGAGGTAAGGTTTGCTTGCTTTGCTGTAGTCACTCCCAGTTCTATCCCTGCACCTCAAATAATCCTCTGAATATCATCAGGAGTCACTCTTGATCACAGAGCCAGAAATAGTCACTCAGCATCCTCTGGGTATATCCTAATCTCTCAGCCTAAACCCTCAAATGGCGATATGCTTACAAAATGGTACACTAAGCACAGTAGAAGAGTACAAACTACTGGAATGTGCAAGAATAGATGAATCTCACAAAATATTAAGTGAAAGAGGCCAGATACAAAATGGAAAATATTGTGTGATACCACTTCCATCTGTTCAAGACCAGGCAAAACTCATGTAAGATGATAATGTTGTGATGGAATTCACTTAATCACACAGAAATCATCTTTAGGTGAGAAATCAAGGATATTTAATTATTTAATGACAAAATGAACTGCAAGTAGACAAACACATAAAATTGCATTTTACAAAAATGCCTTTCTTTTTCTTTTTTTTATTGAAGCAACAGAGATATACAGTTATTTGTTTATGACTGGGTTTCAGTCACACAATATTTCAACACCCAGTGTACAATGTTCCATCACCCATCCCTTCACCATTGTACATTTCCCATCACCAATGTCCCTACTTTCTCTCCCATCCATTTGCCTCTACGGTAAGCACTTTCCTTCCTTCTCTCTCTCTCTCTCTCTCTCTCTCTCTCTCTCTCTCTCAATCAGAGTGATCATTTCCAATTATCATTGTCATAGTGGTCCCTTCTCTGTCCTAACAGACCCAGCTATCCCCCTTCCCAGTCTCCACAGCCCACACATTTGTGGCAAACTTCCAACCACAGACCAGTCCTCCTGGCTATCATTTCAGAGCGCCTTTTATTGGACTTTTTCTGGCATAGTTGGGATAATCACTGGATGGGGATATACAGGAGACATCTTGGGGATCAAAATGTACTCTTTATCAAGATGGAAGGAGGCTCTACGAATGTTTTCATTCATAAAAATTTATTGAACTACTTAAGGTTGTGGGCTGGAGCGATAGCACAGCGGGTAGAGCATTTGCCTTGCTCGCGAATGACCCAGGTTCGATTCCTCTGCCCCTCTCAGAGAGCCCGGCATGCTACCGAGAGTATCCTGCCCACATAGCAAAGCCTAGCAAGCTACCTGAGTCGTATTCAATATGCCAAGAACAGTAACAACAAGTCTCACAATGGAGACGTTTCGGGTGCCTGCTCGAACAAATAAATGAACAACGGGAGGGCAGTGCTATTTAAGGTTGTACTTTTACTTCATAAGCAATGCCAGAGTATTTTACAATGCTTAAAAAATTAAGTGGTAGCCAGAGGGATAGCACAGCAGGTAAGAGGCTTGCCTTACACTCAGCCAACCTGGGTTCAACCCCTAACACCACATATGGTCCCCCTAATCCAAAGATTGATCTCTGTGCACCACCATCACCACTACCACCACCAACAAAATAAAAAAAGACCTACAAACCCAGATTCTAGGAGCTAATTGCCTTACCAATGCAGCTGTCACACAGAATTGCATGAGTGACTGACCTTATTTGGCTTGAACAATAGTATAATGGTTGCACATGGTCAACTTACCTTGCACATGGCCAACCTGGTTCAATCCTGGCACCCCATATGGTCCCCCAAGCTTCACCACGAATGCTTCCTGAGCGCAAAGGCAGGGGTAAGCTCTGAGGACAGCCAGAAAAGAAAAAAATCAAATAATATTAGTCTGAATTGTGTCTGTGTATGTAATATTGTACAAGCACAAAAATTCACTCTTAACTGTTGCTTCCATGAGAATGGATTTCTTATCTCCACTCAACAAACACAAGCAGTGACCTGTGCTGGGCTCCAGGGACCCAGGAGAGCAAAGATTGGTCCCTGCACGGCTAAATATCTGTTGTTGATAACAAAGGAAATGATGATATTTGAAATCCGACATATTCAGGATGATATTTTGTCTTGTTTGGTGAAGATGTAGCTGTGTGGGCAGAACAAATTGCCTTTTGACTTCAAGAGAAAAGTTTTTCTTTTCTTTTTTTTTTTTTTTTTTGCAGGGAGGGGATTTGTGTAAACTGAATTAAAAGCTACCACTCGATTAGTCAGTAACCCGACCGAATACCAATCACACACTTAGCTGGGACCAACCCGGTTTTGTTGACAGAGGCTTACACCACGATCACATTCGTCACAAACAACCTTGCACCACCCACAAGCTCACTGCATAATCTTCTTTTTCGAAATAAAAGGGTCAGGCAGATCCCTCGCCCAGGCATCCCGCAAAGTAGATGGGTCACCTTAGGGTCAACTTTTACCCGCTCAAAAACTCACATTAGCAGTGAGGATTCGGGGGTGTCACCGTCCTTACTCATAAGTTTAAGGCGTGAGAAAAGGTTCTTAAAGGAAAGTTTAGACCACTGAGGGATTGAAAAGGGATTAGAATTTATTTTTTACAAAACACTCAGAAAGGAAAAACTTTGCTGTAAAAAAAGCAAGGATAAGAAATATACCAGAGAGCCAGAGCAATAGTACAGTAGGTAGGGCACTTGTCTTGCATGTAGTCAATCTAGGTTCGATCCCCAGCACCCCATATGGTTTTTGAGTCCCCAGGAGTGATCCCTGAGGAGAGAATCACGAGTAAGCCATGAGCTCTGCTGGGTGTAGTTCCAAAATCAAAAAAAAAAAAAAGAGAAAAGAAATAAAGAACAAAAGAGAGGAAGGAAGGAAGGAAGGAAGGAAGGAAGGAAGGAAGGAAGGAAAGAAGGAAGGAAGGAAGGAGCATGCCAGAGTGACAGGAAGAAACATCAAGTTATCTTTTGCCATGAAGCTTCTAATTGAACTTCCTGGGAATAGATGTATTTTTGTTTTCTGTTTAATTCATATCTTCATGTCCCTCACAAAAATTTTCCAAATAAAAAGGCTAGTTTGTTCTTGTGAAAAAAAAAGCCTTACCTTGACTCATTTATTTGAAGAGGAACTTATATAATGTTAGGCTTATTTTATTCTTCAGAAGTGAACTGTAGGAACAGCACACAGCAAGTTACAACTTTCTCTTCTGTAAATATCTATCCCTCTTACTACTGTGTTTTTTTTTCATTCATTCATCATCCTGTTATTCGTCGATTGCCTCGAGCAGGCCCCAGTAATGTCTCTTTCATCCTAGCCCTGAGATTACATTCAAGGCTCTTTAGGAGAATGAGACCCATCATTGTTACTGGTATTTGGCATATTTGGTACGCCACGGGGAGTTTGCCAGACTCTGCTCTGTGGGCAGGCTACATTCGATAGCCTGCAAGTTTGTCCGAAGTAGGAATAAGATAATAAGATGTCATAAAAAGATGTCCTGATAAGATGTCGCGCGGCCGCAAATGCGGCCACGCGGTTCCGGGAGCTGGATTTTATAGTCTCTGAGTCTTGGCCGCTGATGGGATTACATGGCGCCAGGGGGCCAGGTGGTGGGTGTGACCCCCGCCTACTGGAATTTGGAGGATCTGGGTGGAGGATGCTCAACTCCAATCCGAGTAGGCTTGGAGATCTCGGCCTGGAACCCGCGTGGCTTTGTACCTCTGCCAGTACCTTCATGTGTGCGGAGAGTGGTCTCGGCATGGTGGTGGCTGGTCCTGGAGGTCTTCGGCTGCCGGAGCCCTGGTCGGGGCAGGGAGGAAAGCTCAACCCGCTCCCCTCCAAGGGACCCCAGCGAGGAACAGCCAGGCGGAGGGGCATAATAACTACTGTGTTATTTTTCCAAAATAGATGTAATCATACCGCTCCTCATCATGCACACAGTGTTCAGACATCTCTATTAAACTTTACTATCCAACGCAGTAGACATAACTAGGGTGGCTATTTAAAATTAAATTAAATGCTTTTTAAAAATTCAGTTTATTTGAAAAGATAGTAGAAAGGTTAAAGTGCTTTGCATGCAGTCAGCCCTTGTTCAGTTCCTGGCACCATATATAGTCTCCTGAGCCCAGCTAGGAATGATCCCTGAGCACAGAGCCAGGAGTAAGCCCTGACCTGAGAGGGCTGTGATCTCAAAGCAAAGAAACAAAATTCAGACCTTTGAATTCTCCAGTAGCCTATTGGAATGGGCACAAAGAACAAGCAGAAAGCTCATCTAGAACCCATTTCAAAAAGTCAGTTCCAACAATTCCAGGCTCATCTTCTACCATTTCCCTGTGATTTAGCCTTAAGACTTACCCACATAAAGGTCTTTGCCACTCCCCAAACATACTAAGGACTTTGACCTTTTAATATTTGTCCTCAGGCCATTTCTGTTACTTGAACTATCTTGCTTCTTAAGCATTTGGTAAACCTCTTGTTCAACTTTAAAGGCTCAACAAATACAAAGCCTATTTTATAAAAATTTTTCTACCATGAACTACTCAAACACAGGCATATGTCCTCTTTTTCTCTGCTCCAAAAGAACTCAAATATGTATCTCTTCTTTTGAAATGGGAAATTGTTTCATCCCCACTTCTTTTTTAAAAATTTTATTTTCAAAGAGTTGTTCACAGTAATTGATTACATTCAATATTTCAACACCAATTCTACCACCATCATATCTTCCCATCACCATTAATTAATTTTTTCCCACCACCATTCAAGCCTGCCCCTGTAGGATAACATTGGTTTGTCCTTTCTGCCTTGCAGCAGGGAGCTTAGGTTTATCGGGCTACTCCCATCACAGTGCTCCCATTCCTCTGTGTTTACTTGTAACCTCTTTTATTGTGCTCTGTTGACTTGTAAATATTGTTTTTCTCTTCTCCTTAAGTCCTTTGAATAATTAATTCAGAGCAATGTCCTTTTTGTATGGAGACTAGAAGACAGCTAATGCTATGCTTTTGTAACTTGGGAGTTAATTGACTCCAGATGATAATTTACCCCTGTTCATCTGTTGTCTCGACTTAGACCTCAGTTGCCCTTACTTCCTAGCACCCCAAAAGCAGGGTCAAGTTGTGAGCTATGTGCTACCCTGGCATCGAAATGGGCCTGGTCAAAGCGCCATAATACTTAACTATAAGAGTGTGGTCATGGACAAATTCTGTCATGATCCAAAAAGTAGTAGCTAGATTTGGACCCTGCTAGGGTTAGGAAAGATTAATCTGGCCTGAGCACTGTAGTCTGAGTCTGTGGCGAGATGTCCCCAGGAGAGTCACCTACAAGCTCAAAGTATCTCTTACTGTGTCACTGTGTCCATACAAAATAACTAATATTAAGAAGTAAAATTGAGATGTTAATTTAGATTTTTTTAAAAACAATTTATTTATTTTGCTTTTTGGGTCACACCTGGCGATGCTCAGGGGTTACTTCTGGCTCTACACTCAGAAATCATCCCTGGTGGTACTCGGGGGACCATATGAGATGCTGGGAATCGAACCCGGGTCAACCCCTAAGATGTTAATTAAATTAATGAACTAAGGAGAAGAGGAACACCCCTAGGTGGTATTTTCACCCTTGAGCCTGATTGGCAATGAAGAAGTGCTTTTGATATGTTGATTTTACTGCTAGAAGGGGTGTGGTGTCTACTCCCAATGTAGAGGGTTGGAGAGAGATGAGAGAGCGACCAGGGCAGCAAGATGGAGCCCAGAGAGACTAGTAAGGGGAACAGAGGGAGAAGAATGTAGGGGAAGAATGCAGGAGCAGGTGCACAGAGATGAGAGACCAGGCTGTGAGATGGAGCGCAGAGAGATGAGAGGGAGGGACAGGAGATGGGAATGAGGAGCAGTGTGAGACTAGAATGGGCGGCCAAGAGAGACTGGAAGAGGCACGTGAGGAGAATGGAGTAAACAGCAACTGATCATCAACCAGCTTGGCCCTCGTTTTCCTCCTTTGTCCTCCCATGGCATGGGCCGCCCTGGGTGAACGAGCGGCCCAAGTTCACTGAACCCAGGGCGGCAAAAGGGAGAGTCGCTGGGACTTCTCCCCTAGCCACCCGAAGAGTATACATGCCCCAAAGACAAATGCTAAATTATTTTGCATTGCTTGCTATAAATAATCTGCTAAAAATGACCCCAAAGGTTTCCTTAGAGGAAACTGTGAAAATTGTTGTATCTCATCTTGAAGCCATTAAGCCTCTGTATGAGAGATCACTAACATGTTGTTAGAGTTTAAGTTTTGTGTGCTAACATATATATACATATATATTTAATCAAAATTTCTGTCTTCTACCTTACACCCCATCAAATAGTGTGCTACTCTTGGCCTATCAGTGGCATGACTGCATGGGATGTCATGCAGCTGCTTTTGCAGTCACGTGCTCCTTGCATTCTAAAATTTTTTCACAGGGTGCTAGAACTGGAGTTAAGATTTTTTTTTAACTGGATGGTAATTTGGGGGTCTGGAGACATCTCTGCAGCATGGTGCTTTCTTCTGAGATTCATTTGTAAGTCTCTGGATCATGGCTGTTAATGTGCTTAAATGGTGCCCAGAAGCAGTTCGAGGGCGTGACAGCCAGGAAAGTGGAAGTGGAGGGAGATGGGGGAGGGGCCCATTCCCGACTCCGACTCTGGAAGCCTAGAGATTTTGGTCACAAGTCCCACATACCTGGGTTTTTCAGCAGATTCAATCTGTGGGGGGCTTGGGGAGCCTGTGAAGGTCAGCCATTAGCACTGTGGTGATTGGGTTCTGGAGGTTTGCGACTGCCGGGTTCTTTTGGGATAGGTGGCGGGTCACACCTGGCCCACTCTGAGGTGCCCAAATGAAATCAGCCTGGTGCTGGGTCGGGGAGTCATCTCTGCAGCGTGTTTCTCTCTTTGGAGATTCATTTGTGAGTTCCCACTTTTTTTCTTTACCCTCCTTATTTTCCTTCCTAACCGACTTCTTCTTAGGTGATATTAATTCTCTATTATTATTTTAACTAATAGTTTGCCTTTTAGTTTTGTCTTGTCTGTTTATCAGTTTTATATTCTTATATTGCATACAAAGGTGAAATCATCCAATACTGGGGCCAGAATTATAGTCCAGCAGGTAGGGCACTCCCCTTGCATGACCCAAGTTTGATCCCTGGAACTCCAGAAAGTACCCCAAGTTCCACTAGAAGTGATTCCTCAACACAGAGCTAGGAGTAAACTTTGAGGACCACCAGGTGTGGACCAAAAATAAAACAGAACAAATCACCCAGTACTTACTATTTTCTCCTTCTGACTTATTTTGCTTCCATAATTTCCTCAAGCTCCTTCCATTTTGATGAAAATAACAAAGTTTTATCCCTTTATTATTATTTATTTTGGTTTAGGGGCCACACCTGGAGATGTTCAGAGTTTACTCTTGGCTCTGCACTTATGAATCAATATTGGCAGTCCTCAGGGGACCTTATTGGATGCTGGAGATTGAATCTGGGCTAATGGTGTGCAAGGCAAGCTCCCTACCCACTGTACTATCTC